AAAAAAAACAAAGGGAACAACTTATATAACTAACTAACAGAAATCTTCATCTACAGTACCTGAAAGGATTAATAAAATAGACTTTAAGGTGGTATGATTTAAATCACAGAGATGTGACACCATATTAAATAAGTTGCACATATTATATATAGGTGACTTAAATAAAAGATTAGTTCTTCTTCGCAAACAATAAAAAGTATCAGTATTTCTAGAATTATGCCTAGGAACATGAAAATCAATTTTACTCAGCAGCTCAGGACAATCAATTTGACCATTTAATAACTTATAGAGGAAAGTGACTGAGTTTAATTTTCTCCTCAAATCTAAACTTTGAAATCCAAATCTATCAGTCAGTTGCCTATATGGTGTACCTCTTTCAGGATAAGCATTATCTATCTTAAAACATAAATATTTGAGAAATTTTCTTTGCGGTTTTTCAAGTAACTCTCTATGGCATAAATAGAATGGATTCCAAACAGTAGAGCAGTATTCTAGTTTATTTCTAACGTACGAAAAATACAAAATAATGAGCGACGCGACATTAGTAAACGATTTACAGTTGCGAAGTATAAAACCGTAAGCCTTCATTGCATCATCGACCTTGGACACGATATGACATGAAAAAGATAATTCCTGATCGAAGATCACTCCCAAGTCTTTAATTTTAGTCAAACGATTAATTTTGATGTGATTAATTAAGTAACTATAACAATAAGGTGATTTCTTCTTTGTAAAGCTAATAATATTGCATTTCTTAGCATTTAGATATAAATCGTTCAAATTACACCAGGCTTCAATTTTTGCTATTTCTCCTTGAAGAACGACACAGTCATTTAAGGAGGTAATGTTAGAAAAAATTTTTAAATCATCAGCATACATTAGTTTCCGACAGTTCAGACTAGTTGTAAGGTCATTAACAAATAACAAAAATAACAGTGGACCCAAATTTGAACCTTGAGGTACTCCCGACTTCGCCAAATACTTGACAGAACCGTAACTATTATAAAAAACATATTGTTGTCTTTCGGATAAATATGATTGTAACAGTAAGACTGAATCAGAATTGAAACCAAAGCTGTAAAGTTTTTGCAAAAGAATATTATGATTAATTCTGTCAAATGCCTTTGCAAAGTCGGTATATATAACATCGAACTGAACTCCACTGTCCACCGCTTCCAATGCATACTGTCAAGCAAGGATAATCCGGCAGATATTCTATCGCAAGGTGCCGCGCCTAAAGAAATGGTTGATTGCGATCTTTGGTGGCACGAGTCAAATTAGTTGCTGTAATATACCAGATTTACGCAAAGATAGTCGTGAAGATTTAATAATGCAAAGAATGAAGAAATTTTTAAGAAGTTTTCAGATATAGATAAGCTGAAGCGAGTGATTGCGTGTATGCTCAGATTTATTAATAATTGCAAGACAAAAAAGGAAATAAAGTAAGTAGGTCAATTTCTTTACAAGAAATACAAAGCGCGTTTTTTATGCTAGTAAAATGATCTCAGTGGCTCTGTTTTTTTTTATATTTATAATGTTTATACATTTACTTTGTTGCTACGGGGCATGTTTGTGTTTGTAATGCTAATGTCAAATCAAATTCACTAACGAAATAAAATGAATAATTTTTAGAAACGTTAATCTGTACACATCAGTTTTATATTTCGTCCGCACGCTTTAAGTGTGATTGCTGTTTTTGAAGGCTTGATTGAATAAAGAACATTAAAATAAAATTAATGGAAAGTTATTTGGTTATCTCCACAAACAGTCACTACGTACTCGCCGGGACTATCATTCTCTGCAAATGTTCTCAAACTATCAAAGTTCAACTCGTGAATCGCAATAGATTCTATATTTTTTCTAGTATGTAATTACTTAGGAAGCAAAAAATAAAACGTAAAACTTACAATGTAAATTCATTGTATTCATAAAACATCTTCATTGTACAGTTTGTATATAAAACTATATAAAAATATCATACAAATTAAAAATTACAATATTTTACAAATGCATAATTCAACTTCTCTTGTAAAATAGAGCAATAATACAATCACATATAATTACTCAGTAACCAGTTTCATTGCAAAGTCGTCAACTAATGTTACAATAAGCGTAACTATCATTTTTCTCAAAAATGACTATTTTAGCACTGAGTCAGGTAGCTTATTAAATAAATAAATTAAAATATATACTAAAATAAACAACTTAAAACATATAATGGTGTTGTAGCCCCAGGAAGTAACAAACGTCCTTTCATTTCAACTATCTGAAACAAAAACAAATAATGAACAATTTTATATAATAGATATAATTTTTATATCTATAATAAATTTCGTTGATACTTCATACACAGGATGTTTTTTAAATCTATGTCATTACTTGAAGTTGATTCTTGGGTCATTTTAGACCTAAATAAACCTAACTTAAATCTTGAGTTTTCGTACTATGGTTATACTGTATTTAATTGTGATTAAAACAAAATAATCTTATTCGCTTTATGTGAAATGAATCGTTTTTCGAAAAAAATAAGTTATTCTTAGAAATAACGTTAGGAATTAAATGAACCCATCCACATTCCAAAATAGCCAGTGGCGTTGAAACTTTACCACTAGTTGACGGATTTCTATTAGAATCTAGTGAATTTTTGTTTTTAATTAATTATATCTTTAGTCTAAAATTCATCACCTAAATTAAAAATATTCAGCGATGTTTAAATAAATGTAGATAATATCGTACCCCTCTCATCTTTTTTAGCTTTCTATCTAAGAAAAAATAGCGAAGACCATAGTTAAATGAAATTTTCTTGCAATTTCAAAGAAATATACAAAACAACATTGGTTGTTGTTTCTTTTTAAATAGAACACCCTATATATTTTCTTTTTTCTAACTATAGTGATATATACGTATCATATATTCGCTATGGTAGTTTGCAAATTTCGGTTTATTTAATGATCTAGTTAAGAAGATTTTTTCATAGAAAAATCTACATTCAGGTCAAAGTAGGGCATTATAAAATTATCGCTTCATGAGAAAAAATTATTTAAAAGAATATCCTTTGTTTAGAACAAAAGGTTATTAATAAAACATATATTTTTTTCTTAATAAAATATTTAAATATCTGTTTAGTCAATTTAGTAGCGTAAAAACATAAATACTCAGTGGTTCCATGTCAATTTTGACTTTATCCATCGTGGAGAGTCAGTAAATAAAGCATATTATTGTGCAAACTGTCAATATAAATATATGACTTGTTTATATGAGTGTAATTAATTAGAAAAACGAAAGGATTCCAAAAAGTCAAAAATATGCAAGCTTTTTCTACAGTTTCACAATGCAGCAACTGTTCTTTGAAATCACAAGAAAATTTCCTAAAACATTTATCTTTATCTTTTTTTCCTAGATAGAAAAATAAAAAATATGAGGGGGATATAATGTTGTGTGAATTACCTGTACATACATATTTAAATTTCAGAAAGTAATATAATAGGCAACACAATATTATTTAAATTCCATGTTCAAGTTTTCTAATTTATGTCGAATAAATTAATGTAATTTATACACCTCATTATGATCAACAAATATAAGTACCCACCTGCTTAATATCTATAACCATTACCATTTCCGTTGCCGTTACCATTTCCATTACCGTTACCATTACCGTTTCCATTACCGTTTCCGTTACCGTTTCCATTTCCATTGCCATTACCATTTGCATAGCCGTTTCCATTTCCATTGCCATTACCGTTTGCATAGCCATTTCCGTTTCCATTTCCATTTCCGTTGCCATTACCATTTTCTTCTTCGGCCGCGTTTTCTTCAAGAGATTTTAAAATTTCTGGAGGAATAGGCGGTGGTGTTGGAAGATGATCGCCTACTGGTACAAATCCATTATCATCAGCTGTATACTCTATTTTGATTTCAGTGCCGTCTGGTGCTGTATATGAGAATGACCCTACTGCTGATTGAATTTCTTCGTCTGTTCCAGCTCCTTTTAGTTCCCCTTCTTCTTCGGCTTTTATTCCATTCCCTGTTTCGTAACTAAGAAAGGAAGTATAATATAATCAGTTTTTCTACGTCTTAACTCTGCGTTCAGAATTTAAGCAATGATAAAAGAATATAAATTTATTCACTCGGGCTAGCTCAGTATAAGCCAGAAGAATACAGAGAAAGAGGGGGGAGAAATATGCAAGAACTTTAAGTAATAGTATATACCTATATTATTATTCAAAACTATATGAAAAGAAAAAAAAAAGATCAACCTATAAATAATAAAAAAAAATAACAGAAGCGTTTACGGATATGAAGATATACCCTAACGAGCATAAAAAATAAATTTAAATAGGAAACTAGTAATTTTCAATAAGATCATAGCATCTGAATCTGAAGCATGTACCTACTTATTTTTATTTAAACTTTAAATTATTTTATTTTTTATTTGGTGACAGAACGGGCCGTTTTTTTATCAAAACATACTTTGTATAAAAATAACATCCTTAATATCAACGTCCTCTACACGACAGCTAATCCTTTTTTTTGGGTAAAAGAGTATAGACTCAATGCTATGTATCCAAGGACAATTTTTTAAAATTTGTGTAATCATTTGTTTATAGTGCAATATATAAATTTGACTTTCTTTATAATGTTGGACAGATGAAATTTTAAAAATTTTTCAATCTAGGTATGACTAAATGCATTTAATGAAAAGAATTGGTGGAATTAAAAGAATAAATAAAAAAGCTTCATTGTTAATGCCAATAATGACTAATATATCTCTAAAGTTTTATATAACAATCAAAATAGCGTCTAATGTCTACACAAGTTATGAATTAAAATTGTATTCCAAAAAAATTAAAAAACTTAAAAGTTTTACCTCCATTTATAACTTCCATCGCCATTGTTTACGTTTTCGTAAGAAATTATAGGTATTATTTCACCATTACCGTTACCGCCATTTCCATTTCCATATCCATTTCCATTTCCGTTCCCGTTTCCATTCCCGTTACCATTTCCGTTACCATTTCCGTTTCCATTTCCTCCATTACCATTACCATTGCCATTACCATTACCGTTGCCATTACCATTACCATTGCCATTACCACCTATTTTATAAAATTGTAAGATAATAATGTTATTTTGAAACAATAATACATATACTTTTGATATGGGGAGTGGATTAAAAATATACCTAAACCTCAAAATAAATTACCTTAGACAAGTGTAAAAATACACACATCGAAATATTTTAGAGAATAATAATAATTAAACTAACTCACAATTCCTTTTGTTTTACTTTCGAAACCATTTTACATTTAGTTACTGATCAGCTAGTACAACCTATCACGCTCTACATTCACTACTAGTGTATTATGCCCTAAGAGTAGTATATAACAATCGAGATGCTCTCTTTGACAGAGTGCAGGGTCGTATTGCGACAATTTTACTAAACACATAAATATACAGAACGATTCACAGCAAATGCAAACAATTTAAAAGAAGATCGAGCGCAAAACAAGTTCTCTCTACTGCTTAGGAAACATTTATATCTGAAAATGAACATCGCAGCCTTCTTTGAAGTAGGAAACCTGTAACGTGTGCGAAACTTTAAACTGATAGTTTAGCTAGCTAAAAATGTATTTAAAAAAGTCTATTGTCAAAATATCACATTGAATGTGCTATGTCTTTGCAAGGAACTAGAATTAACCTCTAATTCATTTGAACCTTTTGTGTCGACTTTGACGATGAAATATGATTTTGGATGCGAATCAAGGTAAACATATTATAAAATGTCCATTCATTTAACTACATATACGAGTACATATGCGGTGAATAGCAACAGGGGAATTAATTCCTTTTAAATGTTACTAAAATAAATCAAAACCACTTTCGTAAAAGTACGTTAATTTCCTTTTCAGTAAATATTAATGCTAGGTATAGAAAAGATATATAAAAAACAACTTGCTGATCGAGATTTTAAAGAATAAAGCAAAGGCACAAACCGCAACCTGCTGTCTTTTTCTATTTCAGAGATAATAGCAATTTCGATAAACCCCTCTACATCTTTTACTGAATGCCGGATCAAAAAGCTGACAAAAGCTTTCCTAATGAACTTTTTAGATAAAACAATCGGAAGCAGGAGGTAAACGTTACTCTTTTGTATTTCACACAGTTTTTAAAATGCCCTCTGGTATATCTAAAAGTTAACAAAAGAATTCAACGGTAAGTCACGCAAGCAACTTTTAGACTATTCGAAAACTGTATATAATTCCCAAATATGATGAAAATAGAATAAAATAAATTAACTTCTTATTTTCTAAGCGAATCATAATCTTTAAAATACTTGTACTGATGTAATACTGCTGTCTATAATTCATCATTTAGTTAAGATTGTATAATAATTGTTTTAAATACATTCAACGAAGTTATATACTCTTAAGAAAAGAAATTTTATGTTTCATTTACCTACTTTAAAAAGAAGTAGTCGTATGTTACTTATCTCTACAGAGCTGAATAGAATAGTTAGCAGAATTAAACATTTGATTTGGCCAAATTGTTTTGTCTAAGATATTGACTGCAATTATTTATTTGCAACATTTTTTTAACTTTTTTTTAGTCAGCACCTAAGATTGTCTATTTAATTTTTTGAATATTTTTAAATAATTTAATTTCTTTTTTTTTTCTTGTCAATGTGTGAATGTGTGTTAATTTTTGTACTTTCTACTCCTAAACCTAATATTAAAATAATTTGTTAAAGTTCAATTTTTCTGAGTTGTTGAATATGATATCACGATGTTTCGTTTTGTGTAACTATATAAAATGCAAATAATACAAAAATTAGTCATCATATTAGAACATCATGCATACGACATAAAAAAGCACAAACCTTAGCTGGAACATACATATTTCACTTATTGTTTTATAATTAATCAAATGAATTCATTAATTATTTCAATCATTACTGACAAAATTCCAGTCTACGAAATTTTTTTCGCACGTTTCAGCGGCAACAAAATTCATCAGTTCGTGAAATATTCTTCCAGACGCGGTGAAAATAACTTTCTCGAATTAGTACCTAATTCCAAAAGATAAAGAAAACCCCGTGTATGTATTTATATCTTTTTTACTTAAGATACACGATATAGAAACACTCTATAAAATCTACTAGGCAGTATCTAATAACCTCTAAAAAAAATTAAAAAATTATCGTGTAAATAAATAAATACAAAATATCAAAAATATGACACTGCTCAATTATGATCAAAAATGATATCTGAATCAGCTAAAATCTACTGAAATTAAGTCCCGGTAAAATAATTTCCCGTCAAACCGAAAATTGAATCCATACGGTGGCCCAAAAATAAGTGCCAAAACTTTACTTGCCTATTTTACTGTGGTCAGAGTGGCACCGTTTTCAGCCGAATTTATTTTTGACCAATACTATAACGGAAGACTTTCTGTGTATCGCCGTTTTCGACAAAAGTTGAAGTCTATCGAGTGTTTTAATTTCATGATGTTCTACGTGGTAAATTAAATTACACTTTATAGACTCCAATTTTTGCCGAAAACGGCAATACACAGACAATCTCTAGCCGATTGTTTCGTTCGAAAATAAATTCTTGACTTTTTGTAGCAGGTAACAACAATTGTATTATCTTATTTAAGAAATTTTCGAAAAGTTGTCGCTTTTGATGAAATGAAGCGTGGTTAAAATTTTGACAATAATTTCTGGGACACCGTGTAAGAATAATTACCATCAAAATGTCTCTACCATAAATATTTTTATATAATTTTTCGCTAAGTAAAACAGTTTTTTTTTTAATTTGGGTTATCTAACCCTTTTTAAACTGCGGTTCAATTATTTTCTTACATTATACTTGGATATATTGAACACAAGTTTAAAAATTTATTATAATAATGATTATTCATTCTTTTATAAGAGTACAAACCTAACGCATTGATTCTGTCGGCTGAATGTATGTAGGTATATCTGATATATCTAAGATGCGCAGAACGTAGTGGAGACCAGTTTAGCTATACTTTAGCTGGTTAAGCAGAGCAGTAAACTGCAATAACGTGAGGATTCTGGATCTCCTCACAGTTCTCATACATGCTAAACACAGTGTTAATAAAGCTAATCCGCAATGCAAATACATACATTTGTCTCAAAATTGGTTAAAAAGATTTATATTGTTAGTAATGTCTTAGTAACAAATTTAGATAATATAAATAGTATTCATTTGATTTTATGCATTTCAAATGCTTTTAATGATGAAAACCCATAAAAATTCATTTTTAAACCAACTGCCAACAACTGCAAACCAACAAAAACCAAATTACGTATTTAAAAAAATTGTAATGATTTATTTACGTGTAAGTAGTTAAACTGACCATACCATAAGTGAGGAACACAACATCGAACATATAAAAAATTTCATGCTCATACCTTAAAAGCCAGTTATTAGTTTTATTAATGAACACATTTAATTAGTTACCACTAAACCTCACACCGCCACCTCTAAAAGGGGTTGTTAGACCGGGGCCACCTCCAGCACCTTTCGCACCTGGAGGAAGATACGTGCTGTCCAAACGGGCTGCTGAACAGATTCCCAACAGGGCTGCTGTTACTAACTGGAAAATTATAAATTTGTGTATTAATTAAAGATTATCTGTCAAAGTTTTATATAAATAAATTCAAAAAATATCTGAAATAATCCGATTTTACTCCTAATGGTGGAAAGGTATAATTTTTTAAATCAAACTTTTATTTCTTTAATTTTTCTTTCTTGTAAAATTTTAATGTTGGGTTTAAAAAACCTCTTCGGATATGTAACAGATTTTTTATGCAAAGCTTAGGTCTTGACATTGTTGAATGAAAGTTAATGTATTTTGAAGTATAGACTCTTTCTTCTTCTTTAAATGAGCTATATTTTCATATTAAAATTCAGAAAACATGAAAAGCATAAAAAATCAATATTGAAATTAAATATTCAACACTTCTACGAAGAAATTGCAGATCAACTTAATTAAACAAAATATTCAACTTCCTATAAAATTGCAATGTTAAAATTATACATTAAAAATAGAAATACGGGTGATGAGTGGTTGGCAGACAATAATCTTAAATTAAATTTAGACAAAACTCAACTTATAATTTCTTTCACCGACTGTAATATTACAATTTGTTTCTTTGAGATAAAGAACTACGAAAATTTTTGAAGATACACCATTGTCGAGAAAAAGCAATTTATTTAAATGTATTTTTTCATTAGTTTTTATTATTTTTTTTTAATTCTTAAATGTGAAATTACTATTTAACAAAGCGACTGCCCAAAAATGTTCACTTTAATAAAAACAGTTGTTTCATGTATTATATGAAAATATAAAAAATTGACTAGTTTAAAAGACCATTACAAAAGATACATACAAAATTGACAAAACTAGATACATTTTTTCAAAATTATATGGATGCTATTCCCACAACCATGCCCCCAGTGACAATATGAAATGAGCAATTTCAATAAGTGTACCTTTGTTGTACAAAACAAAATTTACAGTATACCTAATCACATGTGGCAAACGATGCAGAAAACTCAAGATCAGAAAAAGATAATCTAAAATGTCGTTGAGAAATGTAGGTGAGGTGATGACATGGTGTATTTAATATCATCAAAAACGTGATTATAAATATTAATGCAATGCATTGTTTATTGAAAAAGTTATGACTAAAGTTTTATTATCAAAAATGATCTTTGACGGCGTGGATTTCAAAAAAAAAAGATGTTGGACACATTTTTTATAAAACAAATTGATATATTTTTTATGTGTTTTACCAGCTTCAGAATTTATAGTAGGTACTATTTTTCACAAAAAAGTAGTAGTTAATATTTACCGTACTATTTTAGTTCAACTAAAAATTATATCATATACTGTATTTTAAGGCGCCGTTCATATATTTAATGTAGGTATATATTGTAATTTTCTTAGCAACTACTAATTTTTCATTAAGCAATGTACCACATATCGCTTTTTTATTCATTGTAATGTGAGTCTATTAGAGTAGGACTATCATCAATAATAAATTAGAAACGAAAATGATTAATGTAACTTTCCTGCATATTAAATCAAATTTTGAAGTACGCTACTGTACAGAGTGAGCCAAATAATCGTTTATTTGAATAGATACTAAAAACTATAGCAATATCGAACGACATTGGAAGCAGAAAGTGATAAATTAATTTGTTTATTGCTTTTTGTAATTAACTTTGTGCAATATTAGTGCACGTATAAATAAAATCTATTCTGTTCATTAAAATTTAAAATAAAATTCTGATTCACTAAACCATCATTAATAAGTTATATAGATTTCACTACAATCCTCTTAAAAGTCTTTTTCATGTATTAATCTAAAAAATTTTATTCAAACAAAATGACCTAAATTTTCACTGTTTTAATAACTACACAAATTATATCTTAATTTTTAAAATTATTTGTATACATAATTCTTATTATATCACTTATATTCTTTCGACATTCAATAAAATTTGTGAATCAAATATTGTTAAGTTCTGATACATAGCTTACCCATTATAATCCAGTTTGCCAACTCAAAACTTTTTTAAATTATAGTTTTCCTAGCACAAATAGTAATACAAAATTTTATTAATTATATCGCCTTTTGAATTTTTAATATATCATGTCATATGTTTAATGGTAAGTATACACTCTATTTTACATATGTATTATACATTTTACTTGCGTGTTTTACTAAATTTTAAATATATCTAAAGTATGTATTAAATTTCATTATATGATTGTTTTATCATAAGCTCTTTATTAGTAAAGCAATTCCTTCAAAAACTTAAAACTTGCAAGAAAAATTATTATGAATCTTAACCCAACTCTCTTACAGTTTACTGTTTCTCAAGCGCATGCGAATTCCAAAAACTAAAAATCTATTGTAAATTTTCTTCTTTCTGAAATACAGTCTTGATTTTTTTACAACGATGTCTTCTATGAAAATTTTAGTTAATAATGTATAAGTTTTTCTCGTAGAATACATGATTTTTCACTTTTCCTATTTGCCACTTTATAAAAAACACTCACCAGCCTTATAGTACACATATTCAATAAATAACTGAGCTGCAAATAATTGTAACTGATTTTGTTAAGGATGATCGAGTTTATATAGTTATTTCTTCAATAGTGAACCACCCCACTCTAGATAAGAATTAATCAGAACAGTAAGGCAAGATCTTCTCCTTCAAGAAATTAAAAGTGGAGATGCACCTAATGCGGGTTGCACAGAAAACCACCTTTCACACACATATTGTAAATACTTACCTACGACAATACACTTGTTAACTGTAATTCCTTGAAATAAATACCATACGTTATAATGAAGAGAAAAGTATCTTTATCAACTAAATTTATTTAAATTAATTAAATAAAATATTGTGTTAGTCTCAGCAAACATTTATTTGTTTAAAATTATGGATTAAAAAGGCTATTTTTGATTTTAACAAAGGTACAAAAAGAGCATCATTTAATAACGATAAAGAACAGGATCTACAGCAGCATTCCTTAGTATAAAATAAGGAATAGTTTGCAATACTATCAGTCTTGTGGTCATATATAGTTTAGATATATTGAGGAACACCTGTATATAGTAATTGTACTGAACAGAACAATTCCTAAGATTCTGAATCATTTCCTACTCTGTTCTTTCTTTTTTGTTGTAATCCATATTATGTAAATAGTAATTTCATTGCTATTTCGTTTATAAGACGTATTTTAAAGGTTGATTCATACTCATAATTGTTGGCCATTTATAGGGAATTTATAAGACGGCTTTATGTGAATATTCAGCGGATTAGGTATGAAGAAGTAAATCTAGACTTACAACGGTGAAGTCGAAGAAAAATCCTGTTGCAAGAAGAAAGGATTAAGGTTCAGCATTAGTATGAAATGTGAATTCGTTTGAAAATATTCTTGGATTTCTGCCACAGGGAAAAGAAAAAGAAATTTTAAAAACCAAAAGGATCAGTCAATAAATTGTTTTTTAAATTTAGTTTTGTCTAACCACAAATATGTCACTGAGAATATTGATAAATATCAATACTACGCTGTAAGCACTATAATATGTTACAAGTTTCTCACCCAGTATAAAAAATACGATTTTCTAAAACTTTACAAACACTTTACGTAGGATTTTGGCACTTCTGGTATACAGCCACACAAAAAAAAGTTCTGTACCAGAGACATGAGTACATAGATTTTGTGTATTTGTTGATGCTGAATCGGAATCCGTAGCTCAAAAATCGATTTCATTCATTTTTAGTAAAACGCTAAAATATCTTTTAAAATAGGGTGAAATAGTCGGGATAAGGTAAAGCCTGTGAAATGCAAAAATTTATATTTACAAATTAAAGTAGTAAGTATTTACTTGGAGAAAATATTTTAAAATAGTAGCCCAAAGAAATGCGTTATATGTACAGGGGGTCCCGTTCATGTTTCAAAAAAACTTGTGTGCAAGTTCCTCATGGAAAAGTAATAGGGGTAGGTAGTTCATGTACAGTTTTTTTTCTTAGACATCCTATTTTCGAGATACAATATGTTGAAGTTGTTACTTTCGAAATGGTTTTCCTTAATTATCTTTAAACCGGCTAAAAATAAGACTGTCAAAATTTGTACACGAGTAAACATCAACTGTGCGTTAAGAATAATCTGCAAACAGTTTCTTTCTGAAAAGCAAAGTTTTTCTCCAATAACTTTCGAGTATTATAAGATGGAATGAAATGTAGGCCTTAGCTTAATTTGATAATCCTCCAGTAACAAGAAAAAAATTGACTTTGTAAGTTACTTAGTGACGTGTCTATGGATTGTACCGTAAGGTTTTTTGAAGAAAATTGTGGTACGCCACTGGTAAAAACATTTTTTTAATATTTTTTTTATGATCCATTTTTTATTTTAAACAAAATTACCCTCTTGCGTTTTATTTCTAGCTCTTGTCATTTTTCCATAAATAAAACTTTTGTAAATATTTTTCCCACTGCTAACATAGGAAAATAAAAATAACAGAAACATTATGAAGTATGCTTTGATTCAGCCACCGAGCGTAGTCAAATAAGCATTGAAAACAGTCTTTTGCATTGAAAATTATATTAAAAAACTAAATTTTTTGATTTTTTTTAGCGCCCTGTAGGGCATAACATTATATGACAAATATTTATTATTTGAAATTAAAAATCCACAACCAAAATTTATTGCCAACGTTTACGTTACACCCTGTATATTAATTGTTTCATTTTTTTTTTTTTTCATTTCATTTGCCTATTTTTACTCAAATAACTCAATTATTTAAACATTCGTTTTCACTTCTTTGAGTGGTAAATACCAATTTCTATGGTTACTAGATTTAAGAATTTCCTAATTAAAATCTTATATTCGTGATCAATGTTCCCTCTAATTTTTTCGCTGACTGGTACCTATATGGTAGCAAAAATGTTCAAAAATTTGTTTACCCTCTAAATTTTACGTTTCATTAGTAAAATTTGAATTTACCAATTTTTGTTGCAATTCTTTTATAAAATGAAATTTAAAAAAATGGTGATCAAGCCCATTGTACGCAGAATACAAAAACGGCTGCACAACTTCTGAAACATTAGTGTGCGCCCGCGCACTCGCGCACCTTAGAAGGAACTTTATTCGTGATAAGTGACTGAGTAACAAGTTTCAGCTATAATAAATAACGCTTTTAACAAAGTTTTACAAAATAATGTCCAATCTCACAACACTACTATTATGTATAATTATACTTTCTTGATATATTATCAGAATGTAAGTGGTTTTAAAACTAAAATTCATGAGTTGAATATGGTTCTGTATACAACTGATTTTGATGTGTTAGCATTTACTGAATCTGGTTTAGACTCCACATTTCTTAATTCTTAATTGGTAAGTACCAACTTTACGCTTTTTAGATCGGATCGGAACTTTCTTGAGATGGGTGTCTCTAGGGGAGGAGATGTATCTATTGTTTTGAATAAATTATATCAAATACGAAAGGATATGACGGGATTCGTCATTCTTGCTGAAGTATTGAGCGTCTGTTTTGGCTTACCCATTGTCCGTACTCTTTAATTTGTCAGTCACAACAAGAATATTTCCCGTTGTGTAGAAAAAAATCTAGAATTAATCCAGTCTTTAAAAAACAAGATAGAGAAAGTATTGACAATTATAGGCCTATTGTTATATTAAATAATTTCAGTAAAGCATTTGAAAGAGTCCCTCATGAAATATTATTTGCCCATGTTAAGTCCCAACTATGTATTGACCAACATGGATGTATGCCGAGTCGATCAATAATAAATAATCTACTTTACGCAGTTCATCTCAGATAAACTTTAAACTGATGGTCAGGTTGACGTCATTTATACAGATTTCTTGAAGCCATTTGACATGTTCGACCACGGCATTCTATTGCAAAAATTATCTAACTTTGGACTCAGTAAAGATATTTTGAAATTTTTTAATTCATATTTAAATAATAGTCGTTTGTCAGTTCAGTGCCGTGGTTTTAGTACTGAGGAGATCGTAGCTACCTCAGGGGTCCCTCAAGGTTTGGTACTCGGATCTCCACTATTTAATATCTTTATAAATGATATCACCTGTCTGAGTTTATTATACGCTGACGATCTGAAACTGTTTACTGTAATAAGATCTATAGATGACTGTGCATTGCTCCAACATAATTTAGATATGGGCAATGGTTGGTGTGTTAAAAAAAATTGTATTTAAATATTAATAAATGCAATTCCATGGCGTTTACTAGGAAGCTCAGACCGGTGAGTTTTGATTATAGGCTAGATGGCCAAGCACTTAATAGACCGGGAGATGTTAGACTTAAGTTCGACGACGTCTTTCTCGTTTATGCCTCTGAGAGTACTGAAAGGTAACCGAGAGACAAGTACAATAAACTAAATTTAAAAGATGGGCTACGGGACACCTTTGTAAAAATTCAATTTTCCTTTTCAAAAAAATAATGTGTACAGCGACGTATTTCTCACTTCTGCCATGTTCATAAGTTGAAGAGAAGTATCGATTTTATCACAAAATTTTTTTGGCATAAGTGTCGCAAGGGACCTAAAAATGGAAAACTTTGTAAGAAAATGTGAAAAACATCTTTATTTGTCTACCAATTTCTCATTAATGCCAATTAGAAATATGACATTATTATATTCGAAAAGCTCATAAAAAACATTGGCATAAGTCCTACTAAGAACTACAAAAAATAGGGCTTTGGTAAAGTACACATTATTTTTTGCAAAAGAAAATTAAATTTTCACATAGGTGTCCCGGCGGGAACATCGTTTTTTCCATAATCTTACTTGTCTCTAATGTATCTTTCAGTACCCTAAAAGGCATAAACTAGAAAGACGTCGTTGAACTCCTAAGAGTATCTTCCGGTCTATAACACTGTCACACAATTTAAAGACCTTAGGGTAATGTTTTCGACTAAATTATCGTTTTTTAGTCACATTGAGGGTATTGCGGCCAGTGCTAATAATAGTTTGGGTTTTTAATGCGTAATAGTAATTTTAGGGGGTATGATACTATCATTCTTTTATACCGGGTGTCCCATTAAGGTCATCGACCGGCTGTATTTCGGAAACTATTTGTCCTATTATAGATTTCGGGAAAAAAATAATTGATGATTAATATGGCCACTAGAAATTTAATAAAATTATTTTTAGTTTCTAATTTTGGCCGCTAGAGGGCGCATTTCTAAAACAAAAGTAAAAAAACTGCTTTATTTTTAAAAAATCAAATGGAACGATTGATACAACTTAATGTTTTCGAGATCTTCTGCTTATTCTTCAAAGTTTTTGTAGGAAAAATTTTGCCCCATCTCAAAAAATAAAGGAAGGGGGGTGGAAATTATTTCCTATGACAAAAAGTAAGATAACTTTGAATTACGTGAACCGATTTCAATGAAGTTGGGCTTGTTGAAAAGGCAATTGATTGCTTAATCATAACCTTAAGTTGAATTTCAATTTAAAAAACAAACAAACCGTCAATTGCCCCTGTTTTCCAAATGAAACATTTTTATCGATTTTCAAACAAAAATTCAAATG